AAAATTTTTTTTAAAACAAAAATATGATCGTTTTTCCGTGAAAAAAAATGACAATCGCACAGTTTTCACGATGTTTCTATGGTTTTACAAAAAAAAAAAAAAAAAAAACTTGTTTCCACCAAATGTTTGCAATGTGACAGCAAACAAACATTTTTTTTTTTAGGCCTAAAGAGTCTGACTACCCAACCATTATTCTATGATTTTTCTTCCTGCTGTTAAGGCTCCCAATTCCCAGGGCAGGAGAGGTTCTTGGACTGGTGGGAACTAATGGAATTGGAAAGTCAACAGCACTCAAGATCCTAGCTGGGAAAGTGAAACCAAACCTCGGCAAATTTGATGTAGGACGTTATTCTCATTTTTGTAATTTATTAATTTTATTTGTTGTTTTAGAGAAAATTGTTACATAATTTGCAACAGTTTACCTTTTTACAATATTTTTTTAACTATAACTATAACTTTTTTTTAATATTGTCAGAGGAGGGTGGAAAAGAGTGCACTGAACTCTATAGGTCTGTCTTTGACAATAAAAAAGCTATTCTATGCACTTATATAATCATGATGTGCCCATATATGGTATGATGTGATGTTATCCAAAAACCAAAAGGTCCACTGATTAATCTCAGATAAGGTAGTATAATACATACTCCAAGTATCAAAATGCGCGCCATCAAGTCGGGATTCAATATTTCGTCATTAATTATGTCATCATCAGGAATGCTGATGGTGACATAATGAATGTCGAAATATTGAATCCCGACATGTTGGCGTGCATTTCGATACTTGGAGTATGTATTATACTCTTATGGGATGTTATCGTGGCCATATTTAGAAATGTCACATGTTTTTGTCAAATAAAATTTGATAGTATGGAAGAGCTGTAGAAGAGTTGGAATACTTTATTTTTTAATTTGATGGTCGTGTATGAAATATGGCTGATGAGTACGTTAACAAACAGTATACCTTCCAGAAAGGAGAATGTCTCCCAGCTTACTGCCCAAAACACTAGTACTGTACTAAAAGATAAGTTTTCAGACTACTTTTGTGGGCTGTTTTTGGTGGTTTCACACAATTAAGTTTAAGCCCTGAAGCCAATAAATGTGATTATAATATAGACCAACATATTGTTAGTAACTTTCTATGCCAGTTTTAAAATTAAATCTGAATGTTTGAGTTTGAGTTTCTTTATTTAGTAAACAAGGTCATAAAATAGTACAAAAACAAACATACAAATTGATAAGAGGTTTATTTAAACTGATATTGATATAGATATTTTTTTGACAGTTGTAAATGTTTTTAAATCAAAGGTTGTTAGTACTTCTTAATGTATTTTTATGTCTATATTTACATAAACCTTTTATATGTATTATTTGTATTTATATGTATTTTAACCTGTTAGTGGTGGTTGTTATCGCTGTTGGTTAATACGAATGGAATAAAGGAAAAATAATAAAAAAGAATCATCCAGAGCTCCTATCTGTGTGATTGGCTGGGATTCAGTGTTTGCTGATGATAGGTCATCAAAGAGCTAGATTTAATTTGGTTACTAACAATTTATATTTCAGGATCCTCCAGATTGGACAGAAATCTTGAAGTATTTCCGTGGATCTGAGCTACAAAATTATTTTACTAAGATTCTTGAAGATGACTTAAAGGCTATAATCAAGCCCCAATATGTGGACCAGATTCCCAAGGCTGTCACGGTAACAATCACTTACATAATAATTTTAACAGTAATCATAATAAAATATTGGTGTCCAGTGACGTATCTAGGAGTCGTGAAAGGTAAAGCGGGGATCGATGATTAATAGCCTGCAAGTTAATAAGGCAGTTTTTTGCTTCAAACATTTTAATAGGGGGTGGGTGATTGTGAGCTCCTTTAGGGGGGGTGGGACCTCCCCTATATACACCACTATTGGTGTTGTGGTCACACCCAGTAATATTTGCACAATGTTTGGCCAAATTAACAAAATTACTAGTTTCTCGTCGCCTAGTGCATCCATTTTCTCTGCCTCACCAATTTTTTTTTTTTTTTTATTTATTTTACCAAATAAGTCACATTAGTAAAAGTCCTTCGCGATTGTAGTTTGGGATACATATGGTATGAATCATCATGTCTAGTGCTTCTTTTATTTGCTTTCAATGTGTCTACTTGGTAAAAGTGAGAAAGTAATAGCTGTTTCCCATCGGCCATCTTGGATTTGCCATCTCGGAGTAAAAAAAAAAAGTTCCCTTATTCTCCTTTTTTTTCCAAATAGTTTCCTTTTTTTCCAAATATTAGGACGAGAAACTACTATTTTTTTTTACTTGGCCTTGAAGATATCAAAATAAAAACATTTACATTTATCCTATACACTTGTTATTTTTATGGTTTAAAACAAAATTGTTTTGTTATTTTTTCACAGGGAAGTGTGAAGTCAATCCTAAACAAGAAAGATGACACTAACACACAAGTCCATGTGTGTGAACAGTTGGGTAAGTGGTCATTTCATGAACAGGTATTTGGTCAATTTGACCTGCTTGACCTAGTGCAATGACACTAGGTGTTATAAAGACAGAATAATACCTGCAATATTATTATTTTTTCTTGTCTTTCTATAATAAATATACATTTTGCTCTGAAAAAAATTTACTATTTAATAATATTCAACATGTTTTGTTAGATTTGACCAAACTTACAGAACGAAAGGTGAACGAACTTTCTGGAGGTGAACTGCAAAGATTTGCATGTGCTGTTGTCTGTATACAGCAGGCAGATGTGTAAGTACACTTTAATCTCTTGGTCCCTTATTCAATTCCCATCTTTCCTTGTATTTCAGCTAGAGGCTGAAATGCAAGTTACTATAATAGTGCACTGTCTTTCGTATGCCAATCACAGGATGAGAATTTCAGGATACTTACATTTTCAAAAAACTAAGACTGGAAACTCTAAATAAATGGCACTTTTAACATCATGTGCTATTTTTGTTTTTATTATGTTATATTTTTTATAAACCACAGATATATGTTCGATGAACCATCAAGTTATTTGGATGTCAAACAACGTTTGAAGGCTGCGCTCACGATACGATCCTTAGTTGATGCCAACAAGTAAGTTTTCTTACTTTTTTTTGTGTGGTAGTGCTTCAAAAATTTTATCTACGAGACCTTCAGGCTGAGACATGACATGAATCTTTGTTTCTTGTGACTTCAAAAGCGCCTTGAGATGGTTTTCTGTGGAAGGCGCTATATAAATATATGACCATTGACCCTTCAGGGTGAGACATGACATGAATTTTGTTTGTTTTATTGTTTAGATACGTAATCGTCGTTGAGCACGACTTAAGCGTGTTGGATTATTTATCTGACTTCATTTGTTGTTTGTATGGTGTACCTGGTGCGTACGGTGTGGTCACTATGCCCTTCAGTGTAAGAGAAGGTAAGTCACTGAAAACACTTTTTCCTATCTATTTAGAGCTCACAGGGTTGTAGCTGTAGAAAACTAAGGGGGGTGGGTAGACATTTTATGGTGGGTAGATGTGTGGCGGGCCATGAAATTAGCTATAGACTAGGGGGAAAACTTCAAGGCTGGGTGCCCCTGCCCAACTCCATCCACCGTAACTACATCCCTGACCTCAGAATGAAATCCTATTTTTAGATATTTTTATTTAAATTGTTTGTTATATGAGGATTGCCATCCCAAAAATCAGCACACTGTCACTGATTGATAAACTGAGTAATTAGCATAAGAATGTGGCAGTATTGTGTACTTTGGCAACAGTTTAAGTTGATTCCAATAAATGAACTATCATTTTAAAGCTTTCAATATGGAGAATAAGAATATATTAAATCACTTTTCATTCTTTGGTCTCTGATGGTTTTAGGCTGGAATCCTCATATTAAATTTTGCTCACAACTGAAATTTGAACAAGCCACATCATTAAACATGCTATGTAAAACTAGTCTACTCAAAATATGGTAATAAATATATAATGCAGAGGAATAAAAAAAAAAAGGAAGTAAACAATATACACCACATTATTGGTTCGTAGTTATGCATCACATTTTGTTTGTCTTTAAAGGTATCAACATATTTCTTGATGGATACGTCCCCACCGAGAATCTTAGATTTAGAGAGGTGTCTCTCATTTTTAAAGTATCAGAAAATGCTGAAGAGGAGGAGATAAAGAGAATGAGTCGCTATAGTTACCCCAAAATGGAAAAGTCACTTGGTAGGGAGGCATTTTGTATCATCTATAAATATTTAGTCTTATTGACTTCATCATTATCATCATAGTCATAATTATTATTTGCAACCAATTCAAATTTTGAATGAATCGTTCATTACTATAATTAGCCTTTATCATTATTGTCATCATCATCAAATTCACCATGTTCGTCATCATTATCAAAATCATCATCAAAACACTAGTTGACTATCACATTTGATAATATTCCTTGGTTTTGTGTGTGACTTAACCTGAATGGACATCATACATTACTATAATTAGCCTTCATCGTTATTGTCATCATCATATTCACCATCATCATCATCATCATCAAAATCATCATTATCATTAATAAACAAGTTGAGTATCACACGCAATGATATTTCTTGGTTTTGTAGGTGAATTTAACCTGAATGGCCATCATAAATTACTATAATTAGCCTTTATCATCATTGTCATCATCAACATCATATTCACAGTCTTCATCATCATTATCAAAATTATCATCATCTTTATCATATTCATCATGATCTTAATCAATATACAAGTTGACTATTGCATGTGATGATATTTCTTGGTTTTGTAGGTTAATTTAACCTGAACAGCCACCATACATTACTATATTTAGCCTTTATCATCATTGTCATCATCAACATCATATTTACAGTCTTCATCATCATTATCAAAATTATCATCATCTTTATCATATTCATCATGATCTTAATCAATATACAAGTTGACTATTGCATGTGATGATATTTCTTGGTTTTGTAGGTGGATTTAACGTGAACAGCCATCATGCATTACTATAATTAGCCTTTATCATCAGAGACATCATCAACATCGTTATTAACCATCTTCATCATCATTATCCAAATCATCATCATAATTTTCATCATCATGATCATTAATTTGTTGAATATCACATGCGATTATATTCCTTGGTTTTGTAGGTGAATTTAACCTGAATGTTGAACGAGGCGAATTCACCGATTCTGAAATCGTTGTTTTACTTGGTGAGAATGGAACAGGGAAGACAACCTTTATCCGAATGATGGCAGGCCATCTCAAACCAGATGATGAATCAGGTAAAAAAAATTTTAATTAATTTTAACACATTCTACAAGTTCGATTATATACACAGTTTGAATGAACTGGCTATGAATGATGGCAGGCCATCTCAAACCAGATCGCTATTAATGACATTGTACTGTATTGGTACGGTCATTTATAATGCGCCTCTTAATAAAGCGCAGTTTTTTTCCCTTGTCATTGGGTCCACATGCTATAAGTGTTGCTGCTGGCAATCAGTGCAGGAACAGGCAACCCCACCATGTACCCATTTATACTCCTGGGTGGAGAGAAGCAATGCAGATAAACTGCATTGCTCAAGGACACAAGCGAAGTGCACAGACAGTGAGGGGTAGAAACCCCGACCTCGAGGTTGGAAAACCAAACCGTTTCCGCTTCGCCAAACTGTCCTTTACATTATTAAACGAACATAGTGCCTACTCCTATGTTGTTCAAATATTCAATTTCTCTATTATGTAATTAAATCAGTCATTCAAGTAATTTGTGTTGAGCCATAGTCCATAAGACAAATCTGTAAGTAAGGTCTTAATTTTCCTCTTAAAAATAAAAATGTCATCATCTGTTGTCGTACATACTTACATGTTAAATGTTATAAATAAAATTTAAAATACTTTAAAATGAAATATTAATATTAGTGTCATCGTCTATTTTTGTTTTTCATTTAATTCTTGTTCAGTGTTTTTTGGTTTTTTTTATCTTACAAGCATTGTCAGTAGTTAATGTGCACTTTGAGTAATGCCATTGTCATAATACCATTGAACATTGCATTCTGCTGTGAATATTGGTGCATATACACATCTGTTTGGATTGATTGATTTTTTTAAGTGACGGTACCTCAATTGAACATAAGTTACAAACCTCAGAAAATAAGTCCAAAGTCTACGGACACAGTACAGCAGTTGCTGCACAAGAAGATACGGGACTCCTACGTACATCCACAATTCATCACTGACGTTATCCGACCGCTGCAAATTGAAAACCTTTATGATCAGGAAGTAGGTTTAATATGCGATTTGAAGATTTAGTAATTACATATTAAAATCATACATTTTAAATTATTAAAAAATACGTAACATTTTTTAAATAAAAATATAAATAGTATAAAATCAATAAAAATGATAAAAGTAATTGAACGGACAAACATGGATCCATATCGACTTCTTGCTACAAATAGGTGGCTGGACAAAAATATTTTGGTGATCCAAGTTATTGGGACAGTGGTCCCTAATATTGTGGTCTAAAACACATTTTTGGATCTTCCTAACCCATTAAATCTCTCCTCATGACCCTTAAAGCTACCTTCACACCGAAACCCGGATCTGGTTTGGTGCCGAGACAAAAAAGATCATGAAAAATGGTTTCAGTGATAAAGAATAGGACCATTCACATCAAATTCATACCATTTCCAAACTTTACTCCGGAGTGATAGATTTGAGACCAATTTGTATTGTGAAATCGTATGTTTTTTTTTCAATAGACCAATCAGCAACAAGC